TAGAGGGTTCATATCATGAATAAATGTTACACAAATTTACTGCTCATTATGTTCTCTCTCTTTCTCTCTCATCCTTCAGCGCTCCATTCCTTAGGCAAACCTCCAGGACAAATTTGGATTCAACAATAGGATATATTACAAGTAAGGTTTGCATTGATTTTTGGAGTGACGAGTTCCTTATTTATCATTTATAACAATTCATTACTTATTTTTAGCATTTATTGAGGTCTTTTATCCTACTCTTCATTTAAGATTTTATCATAAAATTTATTTTTGACTTTTTGATGGCCATCAAATTTTGTGAAGAGAATCACAATTTCAAGCAATGAAAATTTTGACTTTACATTTAACAATCTCTCTAATGATGTCTAACTTTTAAATATACAGCTTTAGTAATTATGTTTGAACACGACCTTCTGAGACTATTAATTGAAGCTTTGTACAACCTAAATTTTTAAATAGCTATCACTTTTGCGAGCATTTCAATGAAGTTTTTAGGCATCTTTATTTTTAATAAGTTATTAGACACCAACTTCAACCAAAATGTGCAAATAGTGATGTTTATTTTGTAGATATCTTGTATTGAAATGCAAGACAATGCTATTTGCTAAGGTGTCATGGGAATCACTTTTTTTCACTTATATTTTTTAATTTTTTTTTTATTTTATTTATGTTTGTAACAAATTATGTTATGTATGGTATGCTAAAAAAAATATATGTAGTTGTTTTTAAATACACTCAAAATAAATACATATTATCGTGAGCATTTTAAAAAATAAAGTGGATTTATTTTTTTAAAATAAAAATATAAAAAATACTTTAAAAATTCATCAAAAAAATGTTGAAAAAATAAAAGAAAACAAAAATGATCTCAAACAAACCCAAAGTGAATAAAATGTTCACTGCGTAAAAGATTGTGAGTTCCTTTACATGTCAATTTAATTCTTCCATAAGATCTCCTTGATAAACTCTCTCTTTACTGGCTTCGATGATTGTAATGTACTAAACTATTATGAATGACAGTACAACTATCTTGTAAAGCTATGACACCAATTAATTGTGGTGTCACCATATCTGCGGACAAACCTGATGATATTTCATCTTTTATTTATGTCTTTTTTTAATCTCTTAATTTTAAATCAATCAAACTCTACAATTTTAAATTATTTATTTTTAACTTTAGAAAATTAATAATAACTTTTTAGATAACTTAATAACCATTTCACAATTTCTTCATATTTTTTTCTTGAAATTTAACAATATCTAATGGTTGCTCTCATTACTTGTGATGTATATGATTTTGTATAAAAAATTGTATATATAAGAAACTCAATGGCAAATGTATAAAGGATTTTGGTCATGTATATTTTCTTTGTTTAATTTTTTGTTTTTGTTAAGTCCTTCATGTCAAACTCATTTGAGAATTGTCTCTTACATCATTAATCATTTTAATATTAGCACAATAAGCCATTCATATATGATAACAAGATGATAAGATTTTTTTTTAATTTATTTGATAAAGTGATATTATATCTTTAAAATTTAATCTTACGCATAAACCTATAAAATTTTTGAAATAATTTACAAGGTCATATAGATTTTTGTTTAATTTTACAAATAGAGCTTTTTTTCATGTCTTTTTGGGAATTCTTATTGCACCATTGGAATTTCTTCCTCTGTATTAATATGGAAAGAAAAGGCTATCCTGACATATACCAATGATGATCTTTTTGTAGAAAAAAGAAAAAATAGCTATTTTGATGCCCATTTGTTTAAGATATTAATATTTTAGGGCCATGATATTTAATATTAGATGAATAATAATTAATTTAATTATAGAAGACAGCGTATTTACAAATCTAATTCCTTCTTTTTATTGGAACCCCTTGATAACAAGCCTCACCTTGTACCTTCGATTCTCTATTTATCTTTTCCTCACTTTATATATCTATTTATTTTGCAATTTCATCTTATCTCTTCGTAGCTTTGTTAGTGTGAGTGTTATTTTTATAAAAAAAAAATTGTTTCTTCTTTCATAGTGAACTCCCACTTGAAAAATTATTTAGTTATACAACTTCATTATAACACTCATGTTTTTCTACATCTGTAAGCATTAAAAATAATGGTCTATCCAATCACGTTTGCTCTTTAGTTTTTTGATATATTTTCTATATTTACTCTAAAACAAGTGCTACCTCTGACTCAACTTCTTCTGAAAAAGAGATGCCCTTTTTAGAAGCAATTTTTAGGTAAATATTTGATAATAAGCACAATCGTTGTGTTCCAAAGATAAGGGTTGAACATTGAGAAAATAGTTGATAATGCTTAATCTTCTCCGCTTTCCTCTATTGTGAAAATCTCTTCCTCTCTTTCCTTTTTCGCCCCACTTCTCTCCATCTCATTCTTATTTATGATTGTTGGATATTTTATAAATAGGGATTTTATGAGTTTATATATAATGAGTTTACATTGTAATAGTAATAACCAACCACATTCAATACTCTTACGGCCTCCATTATAGACTTTTATGATATCCTCTATTTAAGACTTTACGATAACCTCTTTATTTAATTTTGTGATAGCCTTCTTTTAGAATTTTTTGGTAGCCACCATTTAAAACTTTTATTATAGTCACCATGAGAGAAATTGATTTGAATAAATAGAACTTTGACTCCACACTTAAAAATAATTGATTTCTTTTGCTACAAATATATTATCAAATTTAATTTTATTTGATCATATAAATATAACACAAATATAATCCCTATATCATAAAAAATAAAGAGTTATAAGCCACTTAGCATTATAGAAAATTCATTAACATCAACCTTTAAATCGAGCTAATTAGGCTTGCCTATAAGCTAATTTGATATAGTTTTGAAAGTAATCATATGAGCTTGAATCTGTAACCTGCAATTTGTTGTTTAAATTGGACGGCATGATTATATATTCATATGTACATTAAAACATATTAAAGTGATATGATTTTTGAAAGCTAATAAGATATATGTCATTACTTTAATCTAAGAAGCTAGCATTACTCTTGAGAATGACTTTAGAAAGTCATAGAGTACTCAAGTCCTAATTGAAATTCCCAATATAAAGAATATAATAAATTGGTTATGTTAGGAAATCAATAATATTATCAAGTCAAAAAACTAGCAAAAAGCTAAATTCTACTTAAATGTTGAGGATGAAGGTGAGTGTATGATTGACCAACGAGAGAGCCGTCTCAAGAAGGAGTTGAGGTCTTTTGAGATCGAGCACTTAAAATGACTTCAGTTCTTAAGAAATTCTAGATTGTTTGAGTTAGTGAGCACTAGCTTTGTCGAGACCTTCGCAGACCAAAATGGTACAGAGATTGAAATGTTAAGAGGTTAAATTTATAAGAATGGCTACTTAAAGAAGTAGCGGAATGAGACCAATTTCCTAAAAGATCTCCAAGTTCTCATTTAATATTTTTTGCCAAGCAATCAAGGAAGTGCTAGTTTGGTTTAGTTTGGATAATATTGGGTGACTATTTTGGATAGCCAAAGCAATCTTTCAAGTGGGAGTTATACATATGGAGATGCTAACCTTTTGATAATTGATTATGGGTAGAGTGTTCACCATGACCAACTTTAGAGGCTTGATCAAAGTGCCTTCTCTAAAGTTCAAGTTGTAAAACTTATTGTAATGTGTACACACTATATTGAGAGCAAGAAAACTAGAATTTATATGAAGGGCATCTCGTGAGTCTCCAGAGCGAGCAACGATGGCTAGCCTCAAGGTTGAAGATATAGTCTTCTGAACTTTATGAAATGAAGAATGGCATTATTCACTCTCTTATGTCACTCTTGTTTTTCTAGAAAAATAACATTTTCACCCTCATCATCATGAGGTAAAGAGTTTCAACCCTTACATATTTAGACTAATTTTTGGAAAAGCCTTAAAAAGTCATTATTTGATATTAAAAATATTAACGTAATTTGGTTCTTAATAGCCATGCTAGTGGTTAAACGTTGATAAATTACTTATATAATATTTTAATGCCAAAATAAATATTTGAACATGTATATTCTTTTTTAAGAATATTAAATATAAAATTTTGATGGTGGATAAAAAACAAAAAATCATAAGATACGTTAGTTAGTAAATCATCAAATTTATATATATATA